AAACAGTCATCAAAAGTCTCCCAACCAAAAAAACAAAACAAAACAAAACAACAACAAAAAACCCCTAGGACCAGATAGCTTCAGCTCAGAATTCTACAAGATTTCAAAGAACTAATACCAATACTCTTCAAATCGTTCCACACAATATAAACAGAAAGAACATTGCCAAACTCTTTTCATGAGGCAACAATTACCCTGATACTCAAACCACAAAAAGACATTATTTAGAAAGAGAATTACAGATCAATCTCACTCATGAACATTGATGCAAAAATACTCAATAAAAACTGGCAAATCGAAATCAAGAACACGTCAGAAAAATCACCCACCATGATCAAGTTGGCTTTATTCCAGAGATGAAGGGATGGTTCAACATACAAAAATCTGTCAATGTAATCCATTATATAAACGAACTGAAAAAAAAAACACATGATCATCTCATTAGATGCTGAAGGAGTCTTTGAGAAAATACAACATCCCTTCATGATAAAGGTCTTGGAGAGAGCAAGGATACAAGGAACATAACTAAACATAATAAAGGCAAGCCATAATAAAGGCAACATAATACAGCAAGCCAACAGCCAACATCAAAGTAAATGGAGAGAAACTCCCAGTGATCCCGATGAAATCAGGAACAAGACAAGCTTGTCCACTCTCTCCATATCTATTCAATATAGTTCTTAAGGTCCTAGCTAGAGCAATATAACAACAAAAGGAGATCTTTTCAGAAAAGAAGTCACACTCTCAATATTTGCTGACGATATGATACTTTACATAAGCGACCCCAAAATTCTACCAAGGAACTTCTACAATTCATAAACATTTCAGTAATGTAGCAAGATACAAGATTAACTAAAAAAAATCAGTAACCTTCCTTCACACAGATGATAAACTGGCTGAGAAAGAAATCAGGAAAACATCACCTTTCACAATAGCCACAAATCACATAAAATGTGTTAGAGTAACTCTAACCAAACAAGTGGAAGACCTGTATGACAAGAACTTTAAATCTTTGAAGAAAGAAATTGAAGAAGACACAAAAAATGGAAAGATCTCTCATGCTCCTGGGTATATAAATAAACATAGTAAAAATGGCAATCTTACTAAAAGCAATCTATAGATTCAATGCAATATCTATCAAAATCTAAACAAAATTCTTCACAGACCTCAGAAGAACAATATTCAACTTCATATGGAAAAGCAAAAAGCCCAGGATATCTGAAACAATCCTGTACAATAAAGGAACTTCTGAAGGCATCACAATCCCTGACTTCAAATCTACTACAGAGCTACGGTACTGAAAACAGCCTGGTATTGGCATAAAATGTCAAGAGGGCCAATGGAACCGAATCGAAGACCCAGATATTAATCCACACACCTACAAACACCTGATTTTTGACAAAGAAGCAAAAAATACTTAATGGAAACAAGAAAGCATATTTAGCAAATGGTGCTGGCATAACTGGATATCTACATGTAGAAGAAAAAAAAAGATCATATCTATCACCATGCACAAAACTCAAGTCCACATGGACCAAAGACCTCAACATAAAGCCAAGCACACTGAACCTCACAGAAGAAAAAGTGGGAAGTACACTTGAACACATTGGCAAAGGAGACCACTTCCTAAATATAACCCCAGGAGCACAGACCCTGAAAGAAACAATTAATAAATGGGACCTCCTGAAACTGAGAAGCTTCTGTAAAACAAAGAACATGGTCAACAAGACAAAACGGCAGCCTACAGAATGGGAAAAGATCTTCATCAACCCCACATCAGACAGAGGTCTGATCTCCAAAATATACAAAGAATGCAAGAAATTAGTCATCAAAAGAACAAATAATTCAGTAAAAAAAATGGGGTACAGACCTAAACAGAGAACTCTCAACAGAAGAATCTACAATGGCTGAACATCACCTAAGGAAATGCTCAGCATCCTTAGCTATCGGAGAAATGCGAATCAAAACAACTCTGAAATTCCATCTTACACCTGTAAAAATGACCAAGATCAAAAACACTGATGACAACTTATGCTGGAGAGGTTGTGGAGAAAAGGGAACACTCCTGCATTGCTGGTGGGAATGCAAGCTGGTATAGCTCCTTTGGATATCAGTATGGCAAAATTTCTGAGAAAATTAGGAAACAGCCTACCTCAAAACCCAGAAATATTACATTTGGGTATATACCCAAAGATGCTCAATCATACCACAAGGACATGTGTTCAACTACGTTCATAGCAACATTGTTTGTCATAGCCAGAACCTGGAAACGACCTAAATGCCCCTCAGCCAAAGAATGGATAAGAAAAATCTGGTACATTTACATAATGGAGTACTACACAGTAGATAAAAATAATAATATCTTGAGATTTGCAGTCAAATGGATGGATCTAGAAAACGTTGTATCGAGTGAGGTAACTCAGACTCAGAAAGACAAACATCATATGTACTTACTTATAAGTGGCTTTTAGACACAAAGCAAAGAAAAACCAGCCCACAATTCACCATCCAAGAGAAACTGGGCAACAATGAGAGAGACATATATAGATCTATTCTACATGGAAAGTAGAAAAAGACAAGATCTAATAAAGTAAATTGGGAGCATGGGGACCATGGAAGAGGGTGGAAGGGGAGGGGAGGGGAAACGAGGGGAGCAGAGAAAAATGTAGAGCTCAATAAAATTCAATAAAAAAAACCATTTCATGAAGAAGCTAGGGTGGTGTATGGAAGGCGTTAGACGCTAGGACCAGCGATTAAGAACATTTCATGAAGAAAATTCAAAAAATAAAAGGCTTTCCCAGTTACTACATTATTATGGATGAATTAGGAGAGCAATTTGATCGCTCAGAAAGTGCTCCTCTTTCAATAAATGTAAAGTATGGATTCTTGCTGAGATTTCTATGTTGCTTCATCTAAATTATATGCTAAGTAGAGAAACAGATGTTCAATATGATTAAAGCCAATTACAAACTCTACAGTATGGGCCAATGCTTTACTTCCATTGGTCTGCCCAATAGCTTAGGTGCCATCCACTCTGCCTTTATTTCCTGTTCCTTACATGGGGGATTTAAGCATTCAGACTCCAACCTAGCTGGGATATACAGATTCAAATAGAATTGCCTCAGCAAATTCAAGCAATGGACACGGACATAAGACTTGGACAGTGTTGTGAATTTTACAGTTCTACTGGAATTTCTTGTTATCTTCAGGGCTGAATAAAATCCTCTGTTGAGAAGTAACTGCCTTACTGAAAGGGGTGGCTTTGCTTACAATTGGATGTGCACATGTCTGTGTGTAAAGCAAGTCGACAATAACTGGGAAACAAAGGGAATGAAAGTGCTTGTGCTGAGGGCACCGGATGGAGAAACCACTAAATCTCTTCCCACAGCAGTGATGCTAAAACACAGTGTCAATTTCCCCCAACCCCTAATTAGTCAGAGTCATGTGCCTTAGTATTCCACTTCTCCTCCCTTCCCCTCTGCGTGTAAGATAGAGCAAGCAAAGAAATCTAAGTTGATTAAAAATAATCTTTCTGACAAAATGAGTCAATTAATAGTTTAAAATTCTCCATTTCCTGGGACTCAAGTCTCATAAGAAAGCGATTTCCATAACTCGTTTTCAGAGTCAACTACCTCAATTCTAATTAGACTTACAAGTTTCTGAGAAATCCTGAGTCCTTATAATTCATATGTTACATGAGGCTTTCTTGAGTTATTCATTGGTTCATCTCTAGCAGTAGAAGAATGAACTCTCTTCAAGTTTTGAGAGGATGGAGATTTTACCCCCTAATTCATAGCTTCCTCCTGCTTTCTTTCTATTTCATGTTCTATCTATGTGGACATGATTGATTGACATGATATATGTGGACATGATTGACATGTTATATGTTGACATGATTGACATGGTCACATTGAAAGTTTTGGGCCACTTTTCTCTCTATGGAGTCTCTTTTATTAATTTCAAGATAGGACTTTTCTGTGTAGCCCTGGCTGTCCTGGAACTTATATTTTGTAGGTCAAAAGATCCAGCATATTGTGCTATAGAATGTTACTGTCTTGTGTATTTATTTGGGATTCATTTAGAATAAAAAAAAGTCTGAAAATAGTGCTATCACCTTCCTTGATATCATCAAGCCTTCTCTTGTAACGACAGTTTGTAGATACTGACGAGAAGGGAAATGCTGTTGTGTAGCTAACACTATACTCAAAGGACCCAGCAACTTCTATTTATAGATTAATTCCCAGTGATTGTAGAAGAACTGCAAATTGCATGGTGATCATCTGTGTCAAGGCACCTGTTACAGCACTAAACACAGCATTGTTCAGGGTAAGAATGAACATCTGGAGAGGGAGTAGAAAGCCAGCAGATGGCCAGAGAACTGGGAGGGTAGCAGGCCTTGGCTCAGGAAATAACAAGTTCTGGAGCTTCGATTGTGAATGGAATATTTAATGCACTAATGGTAATGGGACCATTTGGTTATCAGAATAAGATGCTGGAAAAAGCTCTGGGATGAAGTAGCTAGCTAACAGAGATCACATTTACCCTAACTGGTGTGAATGTTGCCATTCTGAGCATAGGACAGGGCCAGGTACTGATGGGAGTAGAGATGGAAATGTTTTTTTTTCTTTTTTCTTCTTTCTTTCTTTCTTTCTTTCTTTCTTTCTTTCTTTCTTTTTCTTTTTTTTTAAAGATTTTATTTATTTATTATATACATAGTGTTTCCTTGCATGTTTGCCCACAGGCCAGAAGAGGGCATCAGATCTCAGTACAGATGGTTGTGAGCCACCATGTGGTTGCTGGGAATTGAACTCAGGACCTCTGGATGAACAGTCAGTGCTCTTAACCTCTGAGCCATCTCTCCAGCCCTCTTTCTTTCTTTCTTTCTTTCTTTCTTTCTTTCTTTCTTTCTTTCTTTCTTTCTTTCTTTCTTTTTCTTTCTTTCTTATAGATTTCTGTCTCTTCCCCCGAGCCGCCTCCCCTTTCCCTCCCCCTCCTTCAATCAAGTCCCCCTCCCTCGTCAGCCCAAAGAGCAATCAGGGTTCCCTGCCCTGTGGGAAGTCCAAGGACCACCCACCTCCATCCAGGTCTAGTAAGGTGAGCATCCAAACTGCCTAGGCTCCCACAAAACCAATAGGTGCAGTAGGATCAAAAACCTATTGCCATTGTTCTTGAGGTCTCAGTAGTCCTCATTGTCTGCTATGTTCAGCGAGACCGGTTTTAACCGAGGCTTTTTCAGACCCAGGCCAGCTGGCCTTGGTGAGTTCCCAATAGAACATCCCCATTGTCTCAGTGTGTGGGTGCACCCCTCTCGGTCCTGAGTTCCTTGCTCGTGCTCTCTCTCTTGGTGCTCCTGATTTGGACCTTGAGATTTCAGTCCGGTGCTCCAATGTGGGTCTCTGTCTCTGTCTCCTTTCATCGCCTGATGAAGGTTAATATTCAGGAGGAAGCCTATATGTTTTTCTTTGGGTTCTCCTTCTTATTTAGCTTCTCTAAGAACCTGAATTATAGGCTCAATGTCCTTTATTTATGGCTAGAAACCAAATATGAGTGAGTACATCCCATGTTCCTCTTTTTGGGTCTGGCTTACCTCAATCAGGATAGTGTTTTCTATTTCCATCCATTTGCCTGCAGTGTGGAGGTTTCTCAGGAAATTCGGGATCAGCCTACCCATGGACCCAGCAATACCACTCTTGGGAATATACCCAAGAGAGGCCTTATCATACAACAAAAGTATATGCTCTACTATGTTTATAGCAGCATTGTTTGTAATAGCCAGAACCTGGAAACAACCTAGATGCCCTTCAATTGAAGAATGGATGAAGAAAAGTATGGAATATATACATATTAGAGTACTACTCAGCAGTAAAAAACAAGGACTTCTTGAAGTTTGCAGGCAAATGGATGGAAATAGAGATGGAACTGTTTTTAAACAAAGAAGTTGAGTTGGTCATGAGGAGCAACAGGCAAATGAATGTGAGTCATTTGCCTTGTGGTGAACTTTCTCTGATGATCACTCAATTCCTTAAGTGCAGGGATCCCGTTTTGGTCCAGGTAAGCCATGAGGCTTTTGCCTTGCTGCCTAGATTCCTCAAATGAGGAAACCTTTCACTTTACAGAGATATTAATTTTTGAAGACTTTTTTTTCTGTATGTGTCATAATCAGCCAATGTTATGATGCTGGGAATGCAGACACACAATGGGAAAAACACAGGGTGGGAACCACTAAACCTCATGTATCACACAGGGCAGCTGCTTCTCATCAAATAATACCTGCTGTAATAGATGAGTTGTCTGAGGACCAAGAGGCCAATGAGAGATGCGTTCTCAGGCCCTGAGTCCTGTATGTTGACCTCACATTCCACGTTGATCCGTGTTGAGGTACTGCTTTAGGTTTTTACTATACACTGCCTTATCTTCCCCTCTATTTATATTTTGGCTGACATCCCGAAAACCACACCTGGAAATAATCTTTATGGAGTTCCTGAGTGTTCTGAGACTGTTCTTGTTAATAGTTCTGTCTGTACAACAGATCTTGATTTTTTTTTTTAATGTGCAGGTATTTCGTGTCTTCCCTGCATAAGGTGATAGAGTAATGCAGAAGCCTAGATCTTTGTCCCAGAAGACAGCATGATTTCAGGGGAGAGCAAGGCATATGAATAATTAATTATGATGAAGACAAACCAGAGTAGAACCCATGACAGAAGGCAGCCTAGTTGTCAGGTTGGATCTTCCTGTGGACAGAGATCTAGGCAACAGGGCCTTCTATCTCTAATTCTGTGTCTAAGAATATTTGAGCTGATGCCTTTGTGGTCTGGTTCCAACATTAACACTTGTTTTTTTTTTCTACTTCTCTTTTGTAGAATACAAGAATTAGGTCCGTATAGACTCCTGAATATAAATTTACATATTTAGGATTTCTTTTTGTCTTTCTAAAATGCAGCAACAGTCCTCGGTACCCATGGGGTATCATGAGTATTGCCTAATCTCTTCCTTCATTGCCCTCTCTTCATCCTTTCTCTCTTCTTTTCTGCAGAGCAACACATTTCTTTCATCATCTCATGTCCGGTGGTCTCCCTTTCCTTCACAGTATTTGGAATCTCATCTAGCCCTGGCAATTTTTCCCACAAAAAGAGATTTTCCTTTTTAGAGTCTTGTGCCAGAGATAACATTTTTTCTACATCTTTACAGAAAATGAAACCATGGTACTTAAGTAGAAGTAAGCTGAGAAATAAACTAGGCAGAATCAGGAAATGTTTTCTAAGAAGTGGGATCCAGGATTCTGAGCAGTGTCAACAGACAGAGGAAGCAGTATACACTTGTCCCAGGTAGAGAAAAGACTCAGCAATGGCACAGAGCATAAATGTGCTGTTTGGAAGAGCGGCATGACAATACCACACGAAATAGTCATGGCCAAGGATTTAGACTTTGGTTTGCATTTGGTAAGTATGCTGGCCAATTTTGGCCATCAACTTCTTCCAGGGACACAATTTCTGTCACCAGGGTTTGCAATCAGTCCTTTTTTCCCAGGAAAAGATAAGCCAGTGTTTGCATATGGCTGTGTAGCTCACACTTTGCTTGGATCAAAATATCCTCAAAGAAACAACACAGTAGGAAGTCCAGTGCTTCTTCGAATCTACAACGATTTTCTGCCATTAGTTGTACGATGATGCAAAACTTGCACTGAGCCTGTAAGTGCGAGTGTGTCTTTAAAGCTAAGATCACCTGTCGCAGGTCTGTTGAGAGCTGGATGAGACCATGCAGGGGATGTTCCTTCTGAGTGTGTGGTTTCTAACGGCTACACATCACGTACTGAATGTTGTACATCTCATAAAGAGTTCAGTCAGTGCTAGAATTATAATTATTAATGAAATGGCCCTTGGCAATGGGTGAACGGTGGGAAGAAAAGTGTTTAAGAGGAGAGGCAGCACCGACGTGTTGGGGATATGACTGTTGGAACAGGAAGAAGGAAGGGCCTTCTCATGTCTTGGAGATGGACCTACAATTTAAATTTATAACTCATTTAACATGAGGCTGTTTACTTGAGTATGGAGTCCATCTCTTATACAATTCGGGGTTCAAGTATTGAAAGTTCCCACCAAGCATTGCAGGAAACTGCCCCATTGAGACTTGAACTCCTAGGATGGGAGAACAAAGCACCTTGGCATACAGCAGATTGACAAGCATCCTGGCATCTTCCTGTTTTGAGTTGCCCACCTCAACTGCACCCACTTCTCTAGTCCCTTTGCTGGAGCCACGAACCCAGTGAAGCAAGCCCAGCTCATCTGCGAGGCATTGGCCTGTAATTGGGAAAAAAAAGAAAACAGACCCTCTTCTGTGTCCTGGGGGGGGGGTGCCTCAAGGTCATTTGGGGAAGACCTTTCCTCCAAAACAGAACACGTTCTCAAAAGGCCTCCAGTGCAGTAATTGGTTGCATCTTCTGAGGGTAATCTCCAACACAGCTGTAGTCCGGGCTTCACCCGAAGTTAGGACCTGAGACAACCTTGTCCTGGGGAAATCGCTGTCACTCCAAATGCTCTCTGGTATGTGTGACACTGGATTATTTGCCAAAGTCGGGGATAAAGGAGGGAAAGGTGACAGAAACCGCAAGCGTGTATCAGAAGATGGGAGTGTGGGAATGCAGGGGTGGAGACGGGCCTTTCAGACCACTGAACTTACATTCTGGGAGGAAAGAGGGAGGAGACGAACAGAAGAAAAAAAATCAGCTTCTGTGAGAGAATTTGATGAACCGAAAAAATAGTCTTTGGCAGACAAGATTAACCAAATGAGCCAGTGAAAGTTCATTGAAGTTTTTGGTCATGTCCCCCATATTTAGAGGCTTGCTTCCCCACAGCCCTATGGACAACACATTCCCAGCTGTTTCATTAATCGGAATGAACTCACTCCTACCAAGGTGACTTATAAAAGCCCTGAGAGCCTTTGGCTCCCCCCTCCCTCCTGAGGATCTAATTTTGCCAAATGAGTAGAGAAGATGAAAAGATATAAAACTTATTTCAGGTTTTCCTCTCGGTGCAAATTATGTTCCTTCTTGTTACGGATGTCTGAAGATAAAAATACCCTTCCACCGCCATCTGTGAAGTATGGACTATACGTTTGAGAATGCGTTAGAACAATGCCGAGCACGCTGAATTTGTCTTCCAGAGCCGGGTGGCCTCATCAGTTTCTGATGTCAAGGCAGGGCCATGGTGCCTGTGAATCATGAAGCCTCCCTTATCTAGGGCAGATGAATTCAATTTCCTCTCTATTGTAATGTCGTATTTGATTCTCTTACGTCTTATTTTTATTTTCAAAGGTTGCTTACTGCTCCTAGCCCTATCTCTGTCACCACTAACAGGAAACATTTTTCAGAATTATCCAGTTCGGGATCTCTTTCCCTTGCCAACCTCACTGGCTATTGCAGACACGTAAGCAGGGTCTTTAGATTAAAAGTATTTCCAATCGGTGAATGTCAGGCAACCAAGGGATGACCCCATGAAGTTCAACTGCTCAATTTATCATCCTGAAAATTCCAGTTTCATCTATTTTTTTGTTTATTTGTTTGTTTTTATGTATTCTCCGGCAGCGCATTTGATCTTTCAATGATTAATCATATCCCGTAAGCTAAAATTCATAATGAATGAGGCACTGCATGGCCCAAGCTTGAACTCACTTGTAGTAGCAATGTCTTTTGTGAGAATAAATCTCCTGTCTTTGGTGTTTTCCTCCTTATAAAAACAAGACAACATTCCCACATCATATTTACCTAATGCACGAGACTCAGTCTATTAGGTGAGATATAAAATAAATTAAATTTGGTGGCAGGTGAACAGCTTGAGGGCACTATGGTTTGCAGCACTGTTAATAGTCTCTGAGACCACTGCCTGAGCGTAGCAAAGCTAGCTTCGAAATTAGCTTTACAGGCCACCTGCAGGCTTCTCTTTTGCTTTCCTAATCAAAACTGCAATCCTGGGTAATTTAGCAAAATATTAAGTAAATGATTGCTTCAGAATATTTCCGAGTTAGGAACACAAATTTTCTTCTTTTTACCTAATTGCCGGCATTAAGAAGCAGCAAGCTTCCAGCCTCGCAATCTCGGT